AAAAAAAAAAAAACATAGAAAAGGGCTAGGGCTGTGGCTTGGTGCAAACGCCCTGGGTTCAACCCCCAGTACAGCCAAAAAAAAAAGGCAGAAGGAGAGAGAGAGCAGTTGAGCAAAACTCTGTGTGTGTGTGTGTGTGTGTGTGTGTGTGTGTGTGCTGGGGATGGAACCCAGGGCCTGGTGCGTGCTAGGCTAGCACTCTGCTGCTAAACTGTACCCCCAGCCTGTTTTGTTTGGAAACAATTTAAGGCCAGCTGTCCAGGCAAGGGCGGAGAGGTGGAAGGATGGTGCCCACCAGCCCAGGATCCGGCCCTTTAGACTTCTGCTGCCGCTCTTCTTCCTTCTGCAGCAGGCGCCTCCAGCACGCACGGAAGCGCCCGGAGGAAATAACCAGCCAGGCTGCTTTCTGCGTAGGTGGTGTTGGCCCAAGGTTTCCAGGGACAGCAGTTTTTTTTCCAAGTGAGCTGATTCACCAGGACTCCAGGTTTCCGGTCTGAATTCACTGAACCACTAACGGCAAAAATGCTAATTTTGCCTCCACGATTCTTTTGATTTTACATTTTTCATTTCATTACTAACCTTACAATGAACTTCAAGCTTTTAGTTACAGTTTGCTAGAAATGCGAAAGTGAGGCTGATATGTTAAATGCCTAAAGCCTGGGGGCTGAGGGGTGGGAATAACTTCTCAAAGCCTCTGAAAGAAATCACAAGGAGTCTAAATCAGCCCACCGTGGAGGAAAGGCCAGCACTGTGGCTGGGACACTAACAGGCAAGGGTCTTCGACCCATGCAGCTTTGCATGGTTTCAGTTTCTCTGGAGCCGGATCATCCTTAGCTTCGTTAACATGCAGAAAAGGATTTTTCATCATCAGTAATCAAATTCAGCTTTCTTCTCAAAGGCTCTTAAAAGCACAGTCAGTACATTAGGTAAATCTGACAAGTAAGGTCTTTGACAGAGTGAGCAGTTATCAGATTGGCCAGACAGCCTCACTTTGAATGACCTGGCTTTCAGCTAATGCCGTTTTATAGTCAGTTGGAGCCAGAAGCATCATTTTTACAGGTTTGTGTGGTAGATTCTGTTCTGTTTGATGTTAGTAACCATTATCACCAGGGGGAAAAATGCATACTTGGTACTTTCTTAAAAAAAAAAAAATCACTGCCTGTGTGGCACACTCCTGTAATCCCAGCACTCGGGAGGCTGAGGCAGGAGGATCATTGGTAGTTCAAGGCCAATTTGGGCTACAAAGTGAGCTCAAGGCCAGCCTGAACCGCACAAGGAGACTCTGTCTCCAAAAACAAAAAGACAAAAAAGTCATTTCATGATGACCGATTAAAAACAAGCTTTTTGTTTCTGCTGCATTGAACATCCTGGTCTTCACAGTGCCCTTGCGGAGGCAGACGGATATTTTAAGTCTTTCTGCTAGGCTTCCCCCAACACTGCTGCACTCTGGCAGCTTCTCCCAGATCCCGGGCTGCTACCTGGATTATTCTGGCATCTTGGTCATCTGATCACTATGGTGACAGCGTCTTCCCCAACTTGCCTACCTTCCTGGTCCATGGTGCCCTTGTGAGAGGCTCCCCCTCTGCCTTGAGCTCATTTACAGACTGGTTAACTTCAACAGTGTTCAAACGGCTTGGATTAGAACAGGTGTGTTCCTTAATTTATTCACTCACCATTTAATAAACATGTCATGGGGGTATCAGCTAAGCCCTGTTTTGGGGGTTGTAATACAGGAAAATTTGTCAACTTCCAGCACTCCCAAGGCTGACAGGAGGATCACTATGAGTGAGAGGCCAGCCTGGGCTACACAGTTGGTTCAAGACGAGCATGAACTACCTAGTGAAACCCTGTCTCAAACACAAAACAATAAATAAAGAAAAGAAAAGAAAAGAAAAAGGAAGTGGGGCATGGTGGTGCATGCCTATAATCTTAGCACTTTGGGAGGCTGAGGCAGGAGGATCACAAATTCAAACCCAGTTTGGACAATTTAGCAGCTTATGGAGACCTTGTCAGAACAACAAAAACAATAAAAACCAAAACGGAATAAGTAATACAAGAGAAAACAACATTCTTCATAGAAAATCCTCAAGATAGAATTTGTATTTGTGTTCTTTGCGTGCTATTCTGAAAAAGGGGAGCAACGGAGGGCGTTGTATTTGCCCTTAAAACGCGTCCTGAAGTGGTGCTGTAGCACGTTGTGGGCTGGAATTCTCTTATGATAACTCCGAGTCCGCCTCTCAGCAGAGGGGCAGGGAGCGCCAGGACAGAAGTGTGGAACGCAGGACCTCGCAGCCCGTCCCCTCTTCGCTCGGACACCCCTGCCTCGCACGCCCCAGGGCCACGCCTCGCTCCATCCGGGCCCCTAACGGAGTCCCCCTGGAGTCCGCCCTCTCTTCCTCTTACCCTGTGCCGGCGTCTAACTAGGGCCTGGTGCGTGCTGCCGAGCGCTGTACCGCTGAGCCGCAGCGCGGGGGCGACCATTCCGCCGCACCCTGGAAACTCTACCGGTTACAAACTCTCCAGTGTGGCAGTGCCCGGAACGGGTGCACTGGTAGCTGAGTTAATGAGACAGAGCTTGGGAGATGGACTATCCGGAGAGAGCTACCAGGAGGGGCATATTTTTTTTTTTTAAAAAGAATAAAAGAAGGATAACATAATAATAGGGGGGACTTAGCAAATTACAGACAAAATGGTAGGAAATTATCAATGGTTATCATTTTACATATTATTGTCTACAAAATAGTTTCTCAGGAAAACAAATAGACAAATAATAGTGAGTTACAGACAAAAGAGGTAGGAGATTATCAAGAGTTATTGTACTATACTTTGGTATCTTCAAAGTGGCTTCTAAAGAAAATAAATAGAGCTATACATGAGTGACCTACTGAAAAATCATTAACTCTTCTCAATGGTTGTTGTAGGAAACACATAATAATAAACATACATCCATTTATGAAATAGGATAGGAACATTACAAACTTTACACAGTTATGGATAGATTAGTAGGAAAATATCAATGGCTGCTGTAATACGTGGTGGTATCTTCAGAGTGGTTTCTCAGGAAGACAGAGATATGCAAGAGGGACCTATTAAGGAGTTACAGCCTAAGTGTTGTCAAAAATAGCATATTACCTCCTCACCAGTGACTCCTTTCACTGAGGTATGATGGCTGGAAGGAAGGCCAGGATTGAAAAGAAGGACCGAGAGACTTGCACCTGTGTCTAGCAACAGGCTGTTTTCTTGTTCCTCCATAGTCATGATTACCCAGGGCTCCTCGATGGAGATGACAGTCTGGCCAGAGGGAGAAGGCAGACCATGCCCCAAGCCCTCTCATTCCTGTTGGACTAACTGGTAGCATGGGTCTGAGCTCTGGGGCCTCCACCTCAGAGGGCAGACCGATCTCCAGTGGTCTCCTTTGCATCCAGGGCATGGCCCATGGGGCCTCTTAGGGCAGTTCCTCTTGAGGTGGCCTGGCTTTTAACAGTGGTAGCAGATGAATGCAGTTGTCGAGTTCTTCTTGGAGCCCCGGGAATCAGACCTGGGATCTGTTTCTCTTAGTGGTGCAGCAAAAGCAGCTGCTTTTTCTCAGTCTCTTTGTTTTCTCTCCTTGGCCTCCTCCTCATCATCGCTATAGAATGCTGAGGAGGCAATTCTTACTAACATCTCAAGTGAGCTATCTGGGGTGAAAGCCATTCTTGTAGCTTTTTCTCTCCAGCTTCCCATTGCTTTGGGACCCCACAATCAGTTAGTGTCCTCTCCCCAACTGTCAGCACAGTCAGCAGGAATCCTGCTGCAGACTTCTCCTGAGCTCCACCACAGCCTGTACTGTCAGGGGAAGAATGGCTTCCAATGAGTCTCTGCAAGTATTGTGCAAGGTCCTCCTGGTTTACAGCTTCCGAGCGGCTCTGGGGACCCCAGTCCACAGGACCTCTGACTCCGTGGGCTTGGTCTGCATTCTCATGTTCTCTGAGTCCTTGTTCAGCAGCTGCTCCTCCGCTGACTCTGGACCTTTCTGGTTCCCAATGGCAGGAGGAAGAGTGGCCCGTTGTATGGCATGCATTCCCAAGGGTTGTTCAAAGTTTCAATGATTCACACACATCCGTGGGTGGGCAACTGCTGTCGGTGCATGGCGGACCAATTGTGTCACTGTTTCTCTGTGTCATGATAGATCTCAATTGAGCGGCGGCGGCCGGCCTAAGGGCCGGCGCGCAATAGCGCTCGCCACCGCATGGCCCACCCCAGGAGGGGCATATTATGGGATAGGGGGAGATGAATGCAGTTCTACACCTACTACGAACAAGCCGTGAGGGCGCCTGCGTGTAATTCCAGCATTCAGCAGAGGCAGGAGGATTGCTGCAGGTGCAAAGGCAGCCTGGGCTACCATAGCAAGACTCTCTCAAAACAAACAAACAAACAAACCTAGATGGACTAGGGAATTAAATATATACAACATCTCCAAAAGATCCCATCTATACATATGTAACATAATCTTAAAAAGAGGAAACAATTTCAGCTGAGAGAGTAGTTTCTTAGAAATATTGATGACGAATTTCTAGCTATAACAAAAAAATTACCACTGGGAAGATGAAAAACAAGAGAATAAAAATTACAAATCACGTTTTTTTTGTCTTCTTCTGAGACAAGGTCTTGCTATACAGTTCAGGCTGGCGTTGAACTCACTTTGTAGCCCAGGATGGCCTCAAACTTGCAGAGATCCTCCTGCCTCAGCCTCTTTCCTGTGGTGATGCCAGGTGTGTGCCACCATGCCCGGCTATAAATCACTTTATAATGAAGTCTATCTCCTCTAGGATAAAAATAACACTGTCATGGGGGAAAAAAAGTAAAGCACAGAGGTTAAATAAAAAGCAAAGCAGGCCTGGCATGGAAGTGCACACCTGTAATCCTAGCACTCAGAAGGCTGAGGCATGAGGAGTGCTACGAGTTCCAGGCCAGCTTGGGCTACAGAAACAAATTCAAGGCCAACCTGTACTACATAGTGGGACCCTGCCTCCAAAAAAAAGGACAATTAATTAAAAATAAATTTAAAAAACAAAGCAAAATGTAAAAATACTGACAAAATTCCCAACTAAAACTTGGCAAGGCCACCAGGCACAGTGGCACATGCCTGTAATCCCAGCACTAGGGAGGCTAAGACAGGAGGATTGCCATGAGTTCGAGACCAACCTGGGCTACATAGCCAGATCCTGTCTTTTAAAAAAAAAAAAAAGCAAAGGTGCTAAACAGTTTATGCAAAGAAAAATACAGTAAAAATCAATCAGAAATCAGAAAGCATTAGGGATTAAAGATCTCTAAATCCATTCTTTGTGTGTGTGTGTGTGTGTGTGTGTGTGTGTGTGTGTTACTGGGGACCAACCCGGGGCTTCCACGTGTTATATTCACTAGTATCTTTTTCTTACTGTGTTTATACTGTGTTTGGTAAGCAGTAAACACCTGCATGGTGGGGAAGTTAGGTGCTTTTTCTCTCCCCTTTCCCTCTCCACCCTTTCGAAGAACCAACTCTGGTTTCTTGTATATTCATCGATATTGAAGAGAAGTATTACGCACATTAGAAAAAAAGTGAAACTGGCGAACAAAGAGATGCAGGCAAGATAGAGGACCAGCAGATTTGAAGAGTGCTCAAGGGTTATGTCTCTGGGTCTCCAAATTCCCCAACTGGGAATGTGAAAAGAAGAGCTGTAAAAACCAAGCTGTCCAGAGCCACGCCTGTAATCCCAGCACCTGGGAGGCTGAGGCAGGAGGATCCAATCGCCTGGGTTACATAGTGAGACCCTGTCTCAAAGAGAAAAAAAAAAAGAGTGAAATTGAACTCAAAACTGTCTCTGTCCAGGTGCTTAAGAGCACGTGGAAACAATAGAAAGAGATGAGGTGAGAACAAAGAACCGACAAAGCCCTGGTGTCCTCCCCATTGGAGAGGGGAAATCCCGCGGCCTCCCTCGCGGCTCGCAGGGGATTTGCATCGGAATCTGCCCCCTCCCTACTCTGTGAAGCCTTCCCGTTTAAAGTGCAGATTCCAGACCAAATCAGGTGCTGGCCCAGAAATTTGCATCTTCGCCCGGGGCTGTGCGCGATTCCTAGGAACTCTGAAGGCCGAGAACCACAGATCTCTACGTGGCTTCAAATCCCATCGTAACTTTATTTTAGCTTTGCCTCTTCCGTCTCGTGTGCCTAGGAAGCCGAAGTAAACGCAGCCGCGCGCATCCCAACTCCATTTGGATGCGCATGGGGTCCCTGAGGGCCCCGGAGGGTGGGCCGGGCTGGTGGCCTATAGCTCTCTGCCCGGGCTTGTCCTGCGGGTGTGGCCACGACCGTCGCGGAGCCTGCGCTGCCTCGCCGCCTCGTTCCAATAACCCGCGCTCTGCACTTTGTGCCCCGGCTGCAGGGAAGTCGTGCGGACCCTGCCGTCCTTGGAGTCTCTGCAGAGGCTGTTTGACCAGCAGCTCTCCCCGGGCCTCCGTCCGCGGCCGCAGGTAAGCCGACTGGCGTCGTCGGAAGGTGCGGTCCCTAAAGCAGGCAGGGGAGCGGTCAGCCGCGTCCCCCAGGCGCAGAAGGAGGAGGGGCCCTGCCCCCACGTCTGTGCGCTGGAGTGGGGGTCCTGGCCTTTGCGGAACGGCGTTTCCCACCGCTGGATTGTGCTTGGAGGAATAAATTTCCACCTTAAACACCCACCAGCCAAACCGCTTTTTTACTCTGCAACGACCAGGGAAGCAAGGCCTGTTCCTATTCATTTTTCTCCGCAGCCACTGAAAGAAAAGAGAAGTGCGGGTGCTTCGGGTTTTTTACTTCTGAGATAAGGTCTCACTGAATTGTCCAGGTTGGTCTCCACATGGAATACGGACATGTGCCATCCCCAGCCTATATCTTCATTTGCATATTGGGGATTGTACCTGGGGTCTTTGCACTGAGACACATCCCCAGCTCTTTCTGTTTCTTTCTTTCTTTTTTTTTTTTTTTTTTTTTTTTTTTTTTTTT